AATGATACTGTTAAATAAATTTTATTTTTTGGTAAAGGTGAAAAAACTTGTTGGAAATCTTTAAAGACGTTTCTATTATTAGATGTAAAAATAAAAAAAAATTTAATAAAAAAAAATTTTATATTTTCCCAAACTCTTTCCCAAAAATAAAAATATGTGTATGTAAAATTATTATTATTTATTATAGCAGGTACTGTCAGGAATCCATAATAACTCAAATTTCAATTATTATGGGGGAGAGGAATGAATTTAAAAAAAAATTCTTCACAAATGTTTAGGATTGGTAAGTAAAATCTTTAGAATTACAAATTTAACTTCTATCTATTTATCTAACTTTTATCTAGGTGAAGACCAATGATAAAATACTTAGATCTTAGATAAGATTTTCTTTCCCTTCTATTTTCCTTCAATAAGGAATTAAGAATATACTAAATATATTTCTTAGTCATATTTTATTATCGACAAAAAAAATGTATTTTTGAAGTCTTTGAACTATTAACAATGATTATTAGATTTTTTCAAATTATGTTTAATACAGACAAAAAGAAGCGGGTAAGTAGATGTCGCTCTGCTGTATATTAGGTGTCTATAGCAGGTCGCTGGAATAAATTTGAATTCAATGATATAATCAAATCATTGTATACGAAAAACGATCCTGAGCGGAGACGGTATATGTCAATTTAGGATATTTTATATTGTTATTACTTATTAGTTATTATTAATATGGTAGTCGGTAAGTTGAATTAATATAATTCTTAAAATATCAGTGATGTTAGAAAAATATTAAGTATATCTATGTAAAATAGGGCTGTTTTGAAACCGAATTTCAACAAAATGATAACCGTTATTCTTTGTGTTAATATGTAATTTTGTACAAATTTGAATTTAAAATGTCTGTGAAAAATAACTGTATTCATATATTTTTTAGATTTCTTAGTTATGGAAAAAACTACCAAGTGGAACCTTGCTTTAAATTTTCAATCTTTATCTATAAAAATTGAACATTTTATATATTTATAACTACAAAATCGTCTTCAATTTTCAAATTGTGCCTATATATTTTTAATATTTTAAAACTGATATTGTAAGTATAGATATATCGGAAGCCTTATATTACATTTTCAATCTTTTTTACAAAACAAATTCAATTTTATTTACAATTATAGGAAAGAAACTAGAAAAAATTTCAAATTTCAAATGTCCGTATACAGCTCAAAACGAGTCAAAAATGTTATCAAGTATATAAATTGATGAATTAAACATTTGGTGTAAATTTCAAGTGTCTACAGCAATTAGTTTTTGAACTACAACAAAATAAGAAAATCGCTACAAGAGAAATCGAGTAAATATCCAATGTTGTAAAAATTTCAACTTCAAACGCTCATAAAAATTTAATTTGACTTTCCGGTAGAAATGAGAGACTTTCTAACTAAATATATTTGCTAATTTTCATGATTTTTACGAATATAGTCAACATTTTAAGTTTAAACGCTCATAAAAAATGATTGTGGATTACGTTCAATTTGTTTTTAATTTCCATTAACAACAGCTTACAAGGATTATATTTTTAAGTTTTTTGACTGAGCGAAAATGTTTGATAAAATTTGGTTTAAAAAAAAACAAATAATAATTAAAAATTTCATTTGCCTATAAATAATACAACACAAATCTAAATATTTTGAAAAATTTCACAAATATTCAGTGAAGATTTCATGTACCTACGGTCATTTTTGTTAGAGTTACACTAAAAACCAAAATCAATTTTTTTAAAAAATAGTTTTGCTTAAAAATTCCCGATTTTCCTTAACTTTTTGGTTGTTTTTCCTGTTGCTTTTGAAAAGTATTGAGAATTTTAAATTTTAACCTCCCGTATACACAAACTATAGATTTACTTTCCTACCAGAAAAGCTGCTATTGAAGAAAATCGAAGCACTTTTACTGCAAGAAACCATGATGACAGACACAAAAAAATAAATATAAAAACACTCATCATTGTAAAATCAATACATTCATCCCTCTGCTCAGAATCTAAAATAACTAAAAGAGCTAAATAGGCTAAAATATTCGTTAAATAATTGATATTTAGGGGAAAATGAACATCATTTTTGCTGAAAAAAATATTTGGAGAATTTTGGAAACCAACCTTTTTGGGGGAAGAAAACGATATTTCTCATTCTTGGATGAAGATAAACTCACCCGATGAGGCATATTCGTAAACAATAGAGGCTGATATTCAATATTATAGATAAAAATCTTATACTTCAGATTTCAGAAGAGATAGAATACCTATATCTATATGTATATAAAATATGTATATTATTATACGATGCAGGGTTGAGATCTTATAGCATTTGCATATTTCTTATAAGATATATAATAAATAACAGAGTACGCTGAAAATGTATTTCATGATACAAAGAACTTAAATTAAAAAATTTTATTTTGCATATTTTTGCATATTTTGTGAATTTTTAGATTTTAGTGCTATTTTTGGAATTTGTGAGATGTTTTTTTAGTGTTTTTAGATTATTGTAGATCGAATCGACAAAGTAAATATACAGATGAAGTAAATAGACCTATTACGCGGAAGCGCTGCAAGGCCGTTTATAATTTAGTATTATTATAGCTTCAAATTTTGAACTTTTGTTATCTACTGATTTTGTTGAGGTTTTTTGTCAATTTCTATCGATTATCATCGAAATAGCTTTAAATGCGTTGCATACTCTATTAATTTTATACAAGTGTATCTATACTTGTAGACTGTAGTGACTAAAATTATTTCAAAACTTAAGTAACTACATATAATAATTTGTGAGGGATTAATGGACTATCAATTAGTACGTTTCCGTTTTTTTTCATATTTTGTTGTTTTTGTTGTATATTTACCGATATTTGAGGTGATGATAAAATAGCGAATATTTATGTAATTTCCAGAGCCATAAACTCCTAACCCTATTTATATGTACAGATATTCTCTATAATACTTTATTATGTTTATGATTTTACCTTTTGAACATAAGCGTTGGCGTAAAAGTTTCCAAATAGCACAATAAATGAAATCATGTAAATCACCAATAAATATTGCATCCACATGGGAAATTTGCATCCAGATTTAATTCCATGGATACCCAAAAAAAGCGCAGTGGTAAATTGAATCTAAATATTAAAATGCGTATTATTTGATTGAACCATTATATTATATACTATATAAATTAAATTATATAAGTATTGCAAGTCTAATATTTATACTAACCAATTGAAGCATAGTTAAGTACTTTTTCCACCATAAATACTTTTCAATTTTAGGGCCCAAGGCACTCAGGGCATAGTACGAATACATAAGTACATGTATAAAACTGTTTACCATTGCAGGCAAAAACGTAGATCCACTAGGCACCCATTTTACTCCAATCCACCACAAGGAGAACATAGTAGAATGATGATAGACATGTAAGAAAGTAAGCTGTTTATCCTTTTTCCGGAGAATGAAAAATATTGTATCACAAAACTCGAGGAGTTTTGAAAAGTAATACCACCAAACAGCTTTTAATAACTATAGTACAAAACATATAAAATGGCAATTATTTATTTATTATTCATGTTGAGTAAAAAATAATTGTATGATTTTATTTTATTTATTATTACTCATTTAAGCAAAATAATTACTCGAAGTATAATCGTGTAGGGGTAACTATTGGCTATTTAATTAAAATCATAATATATACATTATACATTCATATATATATATAGATAGAAGTAGACATGAAACACAATTACTTTTTAAAGTTCATCTGAACAAAAATATTTTTATAATATTACTATAATAAACGGGCGTCGGGCACTTTACATTAAAACTGAAATTGTTAAATTTATAAAAGATACAAAAGTAAAAAATGTATCAAACTAAATATTGAGTTATACATGTTTGTTTTATTACTACATTAATAATATTATATAAAATATCATAGATATACCTACCACAAATTTAAAAAAAAAATACCTATATATAGTATGAATTAAAAATGGTTTAACCTTCACGAATATATTAAGTATTATAATATTTATATTTGAATACTTAGATTATAAGTTACATATAGCAGTTATAGTTTATAGTTACATATTATAGTTACATATATAATTAAAGTTTTGTTTTGATAAGTATAAAATATTAAGTGTAAGACAAGTCTAACAGTAAGATACCTTATTATAAGTTATATCGTTACAACGTTTATGAAAGACTTAGAAACATCGTGAAAATACTTAAATTACTTAATAGATACTATTTAAAACTATAGTACTATACATGGTAGATATAAGCTAAAAAATATAATATATGTATATTTCATAATTATTATTAATTACCCTCAATTCGTCTTTATTGTTGATAAATGTTAGTGGTTGACAAACATAACTATAGCGTAAACGACTAGATGCCACCAGTAACTGAAAATCAAATGTTTAAACTGTAATATACCTAACACCATTGACAATTTAAATACGGTTGTGTATACTTCAATAGCTATATATAAATTCAATAATGTCATAAGGATGTTATATGGTATCAGTATGGGAGTGAGTTTGAATGGTTTTCTATTTTTCATACATCTCGGCCCCAAACCAACGATTATGAAATAAATGACTGTATAGATTACGGTTGGCATTGGTGAATCAACCATCAACCAACCTTTCGTTCTATCGTCTGTAAGAAGAACACAAGTTTATACATATTATATAAGTATATAAGTTATATTTTAAATACATTACTACATACATCATAAATGCCTACATAATAATAGTAATACAACCATAAATAACAATTCTGCGATTAAACTGTATAGGTAGGTACCTACTTACCTGAGACTGATAAGGACCATAGATAAAATTCGTTAATTTTTTCAGTCACTGACGTAGAAAAATTCATTTTTGAATTCTATTTACTACACAAAACAAAAATAAAAATATTAATATATCTATGCCTTAAAATATTTAAATTTATAGTTACATTTTGACTTTCCTATATGATGTTTATTGTATATCTTCTATTTCAATAGATTTTAAAGATTGAAAATAATTTAATCAGTAAATGTTAGTTAACTGAAATGCGCTGTATCCATCACAAGTCCACGCAGGGTACTGATCTGGAGAGAACTGTTGAATAGCTGTGTCATATAAAAGTTGCCAGTTTACTATTAGTAATCGGTATGATATTAGTACATCATAGGTATGGGTATGACAAAACCATTTCCATAATGATGTTCGACCATGTATGATCATCTCCCGTTCTCCCACCCAATGTATTCGATACCCAATTTATTTGAATTACCTACGATTTACCTAACACTCAATTTTCAATATAGATTCATCGGAGCCTTCATAGTCTGCCATTCCTCTTTTACTAATTACACTTTTACTTCAAACTTTCAGTTGTTCTATTTGGTCTATTCCTAAATTTTAATTATTAACCCTATTTTTCAAAAAAATTTTGTAATTGTATTCTCATTTTTTTTATATTTGGTGGACATGATAGAGCAACACACTACGCGAGACTGGTGGTCACACTAATCCGAAAACAAATTTTATCAAACACGTCTCATAAAGTCATGACTATGGTCTAAAAATAAATTTAAACTCATTAATGGTGGTGAGGATAATGCGACAGAACCGATAAAGATCAACAGTTTATCAATTTTGTGGAGCCGGAGACATAAAAATTATTTTTCTATACCGATATTATAGTAATCGGTTTTGTCGCATTACCCTCGCCGCCGTCGTCGAGTTAAAATTTATTTTTGGACCAGGTAAATTTCTACGGCGACGCGGCGCCCCTGAAAAGACATCGTGGCGCACAGTTTGGGAACCGCCTATGGGAAGGGGAGTTTGAGTCCCCCCAAAAAATTTAGTCATTTTTCACCTATGCCTATATCTATATTATAATACATATCCACGCACGCATGCGTGTGTATAAGCGATCCACAGCCAAGTCTATTACACTCAAAGTTATGAAATGTAATAGATAGGTAACATATACTCGAGGATGTGCACCTCGAAGCCAAATTTAAAATTTTACATTTTATAGAGAAGCTCATGAAAAACGAATATTTCTTTGTTTGTACAGGGTTATTGCCATTGGTTAAATAAAATAAAATAGTTGTTATAATTAGATACCATTTTATACCGTTAATTATTTAATTAATCTTTATATACAGCACCTAAATCTTATGTTTTTCATGTGATCTAGACATTTTTCTTATGTTTGTATTTATAATAAATAATGTTTTTTTCATTAAACTAGTATTTAATTGCTGTTTTAGAAATTATATTATAGATACAATCTAAGTTTATCCGCATATGCACTACAGTCTACAATAGGTAACTCCCAACCTCCAACACAACTACACAAGCCTTATGCTTACAGGAGGTTGATATACCATATAATTATTATTGTTAAATTGTTAAAATTTGTTAATTTTCTATAATAAATGGTTTTTTTCTAAAAAAAAAAATTGTTTATTTATTTGATCAATACAATAGCCAAATAATCGTGATAAAAATCTGTGCAACTATTACGTTTAATGGTTTTTAAGAAGGGGTTAGGTTATAAGTTAGGAGTTATGGTAAAGTATAGGCCATAAGGTAGTACTTAAACATAAATCAACGGGTATTGTGTTTGTCACTGTCAACGTTATACAGGATGAGCTAGTGATCTATATTGAATACAGGGTGATTCATCAGGCACTAACTAACAACCATTTTTTAATTTATTCAAACTCTAATTTATGGAACTTTGAAGTAGATATAGGGTACTTAAAGATCACATTTTCAAAAACTTACGTATTACCTATGCATTTTATTTTTTGAAAAATTACATTGGTGATATTATAAACTCCTTTTTAAATGAAAATCGCTTTTTTCAGCAGTAGATATAGGAACATGATGTAATGCGTGATTTTTTAAAAAGTTAATATACATAAAACGAAATTCGAACGGGTAGTTTCTGACTTAGGTTTATTAAAGTGTAAGGTTTACGGATAGATAGTGTATAGTTTACGGAAAATTATGGTTATAGATTTAATGATATTTGAAAATTGTATAACTTGATTAATATTACAATGAATTAACATTTTATAATTTTTTTAAATTGTCTAATATATCAAATAATGGTTTTATTTTGTATTTGATGTAAAACTGACCTCAAGCTATTAAGGTCTAAGGATTAGTATCTTTATTTCGTAATCCTTAGTACACAAAATTTAAATAGAAATATACTACCTATAGGTTATTTATAGTGCAGTAGAAGTAGAACCTATACTTATAGTCATTAGAATTCTGATTTAGATGCAAAACATTGAACATTTAAAAAAAGTAATTTAATTAATAATTTACAGGGAAAAAGGGTGGTTCCCATTCAAAAAAAAAAATTTGTTCCTACCGACAAAAGGCACTAATTAAATAGTTTAAGATATCTAAAAATAAAAATTATTATCTAAAAATATACATATCATTTTTATTTTTACTTTTAAGTAGGTAGATTTTGGTATTATAAAATACAGAATTCGAATAAATATATTATTATTATGAAAAAGATATAGGAGGAGTATCTATTGCTATACTATAAAATGATATATTAGGTTATTAGTAATTCGTTTATTAGTTATTAACTTATAAAGAGTGGGTGAGACTTGAATTTGTTCAATGGCTCGCAGACTCACCTGTTCTCTAAAATGTCATTTTATTTTCCGTGCGTTCAAAATTCTAATTCTAGGCCACCATCGTAGTCTATATTAAAACCATAAAAGTTATCAAATGTTACTGGTACTGTTATTTTTCATTACCTGTACTTTCATGTAGTAGGTATATGCTGTTCATTTATTTGTGTAAGGCAAACCTATTAGCCACACTTTCAGAGTCTCTGTGACCAATTTACACATTGTTAGTGAAATAATTTATTGGATATTAGTTATCAATAGTCTATTTCGCAGTATTATACAAAGCAATCAAGTGTGTTTTAAACCGGCCGGTTTTGTATGAAAGCATTTTTATAGATTTATGTATAGCTACACTATTTACGAGTTTACGACCCAAATTATTCCATTCAATTGACATGATTGCCAATACCTATTTAATAGTTATACATCTTGTCTACATATCAATATAATATAACCATTGGAAATATGTAACGGGTTTTTTCTCTTAGTTCAGCATTTAATGCATCAATATGACTGATAAACAGCTATACCTACCTATATAGTACCTATATAGTACCTACGTACGTATGTGCTCTACATGTCCTTATAATAATAATAATAATAATAATAGTAGCGACTAAAATATTACATTTAACTATTCGAGAGTCTATACCTACCTACATAAGAAACCTATATAATATGGAGTTATAAAGTCCACTCATTATTACTTGAAATTTATAAACTTCTTTTTTTTTTACGATTAGATGGTATAGGTATTCGGTATTGGACATTGGTACCTCAAACCATAGATGATATTCAACTACTAGACAAGAACTGCGCGTAACAACATATCGCAGTGCTGTAGGCCAGCGGTTCCCAACCCATATTCCGCATCCCGCTTGAGGGCCTCGAGCAGCTTGATACTGAGCCGTGAACCATATAAATATATAATATTTAATATTATATATTTATATTTAAAATAATATTATTATATATTTTTAGTATATACCTAATAATATTTCTGGTTATAATAATATTTATCAATATTATCTGCACTCTGTGGTGTCAAATTAGTGTATAATTATAATTAACGATAAATGTTGGAATAAACTGAATGTTGAAAGTGATTTAGGTAATTCTAATACTATCCAGTTTTCATCCCGATATTGAGTCTCTCGTGAAGGACAAGTGATGTCAAAATCACATTAAATTGTTTAACTTGTGATTAAGTAAGTGTTTTTCATGATAAACAATTGATAGGTGAGCTATTTGTGGGCCTCAAGATTTTTTTGCAAAATTGGTGGTCCGCACAGCTAATAAGGTTGGGAACCACTGCTGTAGGCTGTCTTTACGAAAAAATACAATAATCTATAATATATCTATAAATCTTACCTTGCTACCCCGCATTACCGTGCGTACGAGCAATCGAGTGATCAAAAACTGCTCTATATGTTGTTACGCTTTCCATACACTCGTCGCTTGACTATAATATAGCATAATCTAATATAAATAAGGTATTAAGGTACGTCAGTTCATTGAAGTTGGACTGAAGGAAGGTTATTTTTCAAAGTATACTCGGTACATGGGAAGATTTTCCAGGGCGAGGTAAAAATTCTCCACCTAGTTGCCCAGGTGTTTGAGACGAGAAGATTTTGGAGATCGGTGTTAAAGTTTTAATGGGATCTGAGTTGGAGGCCACAGAATAGCTGTATCGTCAGTAAAGGTTACTATAATCGTGTTTACTGCTTTAGGAATATTGGTTGTGTATAAAATATTGAATAAATCAGAGGACAAATCACTTCCTTGAGTGATTTCAGCAGAGTTTAAAGAACTGCAGGGAAATAGGAAGAGATTGATTTGCATATTGTTGAGCTGCAAATGTTGGATTGCGGGTATAAGAGCATACGATGGGAAGGCGCTGGAAGAAATCATTTTATTTTGTAGAGAAGGCCGTCATGCTAAACTCTATCAAATGCTTTTGGGCCAGTTGGCCACGTCTAAAATAACGGCTAGATAGTATTCCTTACTTTCAAATGAGGTTTGAATTCCCAATTTTGTCAGTTCATTAAGTGTATGTATTTGATGCACTCTGATCGAATTGTTCTGAAGCCGAATTTAAAATTTAGAATTTAGATACTCATAATTCGCTTTCAAATTGAAATACCTAAAAAAGAACTTACAATATTCACTAGATGGGTACCCTGTGGCCTGTACCCACCTAATATTCTAAGTTTTAAATTCGATATAATAGCCAATAGGTCAAATACACACTCTAATATAGCCCGAAATAGGTACCTAACGGCTAACACAGTTAAATACTTAAATGAATTACGTAAAACGTGCAATTTGCCATGCTTTGCGATTGTAAGACGGTAAAAACTCACTCGGGTGTAGCCAAAGTGTATTTATTTAAATAGTAGGTTAATACACATATAGGTTGTCCCAGAGGGTTGCAGGGTGTAGTACTTTAGTCTGTACTCTGTAATGCCCACAGGGCATATACTATGTAA